CTAAAAAATATTCTATATTATTCATCATCAATTATAATTATTTTTTTGTAAATATTTAAAACAATTGTTATTAATCATTGATCAATATTTATAGATTATAAATTGTTCAATCAATTGTTTTTCCTCGAATATTTAATTCTGGTACGGGAACTTCCAGCAATTTGCCTTAAGGCACGATGCCATGCCTCCACTGTATAGTTTTCAATATTATGTAGGAGTGATAGATAAAACCTATTTTTTCAATAATCTTAGTTCATGCTTCTGAGCTCAACCACGAACTAACATTAGCTATTTTGCACCAAAATAACTAAATGCAGCAAAACTGCATATTTGTTATGGTTTTCAATTCCTTGTAAGTATAAGACAGAAATTTGCGATCTGATCCAGCTAGTTAACAATAAATAATCAAATCTTCAAATTATATTGACAATCAATGAAAAATACGTCAATTATCTTCTATATATATAAAAATAAGTCGGGTTTTCCTTCCTGACGAAATAACTCCAGAACGCACGAACCGATTTCGACAATTTTGCATTTGTTGGAAAGGTCTCGGGCTCCGCAAGGTTTATAGCTAAGAAAATTAGTTGTGCATGGCATCGTGCCTTAATGCAAGCTGCTGGAACTTCACGCACCGTAATTAAAAATTCGAGTAACAAAAATAATCAATAACTGTTTTAAATAATTTCAAATAGATTATCTTCTATATATATAAAAATAAGTCGGGTTTTCTTCCTGACGAAATAACTCCAGAACGCACGAACCGATTTCGACAATTTTGCATTCGTTGGAAAGGTCTCGGGCTCCGCAAGGTTTATAGCTAAGAAAATTAGTTGTGCATGGCATCGTGCCTTAATGCAAGCTGCTATACGGAACTTCACGCACCGTAATTAAAAATTCGAGTAATAAAAATAATCAATAACTGTTTTAAATAATTTCAAATAGATTATCTTCTATATATATAAAAATAAGTCGGGTTTTCTTTCCTGACGAAATAACTCCAGAACGCACGAACCGATTTCGACAATTTTGCTTTCGTTGGAAAGGTCTCGCAAAGCTCAGCGAGGTTTATAGCTAAGAAAATTAGTGGTGCATGGCATCGTGTCCTAATGCAAATTGCTGGAACTTCATGCACCGTAATTAAAAATTCGAGTAATAAAAATAATCAACAATTGTTTTAAATAATTTCAAACAGATTATCTACATATATATATATATATAAAAATAAGTTGGGTTTTCCTTCCTGACGATATAACTCCAGAACGCAAGAACCGATTTTGACAATTTTGCATTCGTTGAAAAAGTCTCGAGCTCCGCAAGGTTTATAGCTAAGAAAATAAGTGTGCATGGCATCGTGCCTTAATGCGAGATTGCAATTTCCAGTTCGCTTTGCGTTCGCAATGACAACTAACAAGCCGCAAGGCCAATCGCTTAGTGTTTGCGGGATGAATTTCAAACAAATTATTTAGAAAATCATTATCTATCACATGGGTTGTTATACGTTCACGAGTTGGAAAACCATCCGCTTTGTTTGTGTTAACGTCAGACCAAAAAACAAAAAATGTGGTTTACCAAAGACCACTTCCATGAAACGGATAATTTGCGGATTTACTTTTATTCACTTAGAGAAGTTCAACTAAAAAACACTTCATTTTTGTAATCGAAATAAATTCATTCCTGTTGTGTAATAAAAAAACAATCCCTTTTCAAATATGAAACAAATAAAAAAATTCTTCATCTTTCTCACGAAACCATCTGGTGGCGAAACGGAGTTCGTCGGGTTTGCTAGTCTTATATATAAAAATGGATCGCAAAATGTGTTGGTAAGCGCATAACTCAACAACGCCTGGACCAATTTTGCCAATTCTTTTTTTAAAATGTTCGTTGAAGTCCAAGGATGGTTGTTACGGCGAGAAAAAAACGAATAATTGCCTGGAAAACCCTAAAAACAGCCCTTTTCTTCTTTAATCGAGTAGGCAACGCAATTTGTAAAAAAACAATGATCTATGTCATGACATTTTGTGTAGTTTTTGATAATCTAATTTTGAATATATTTATATAAACATAGAAATATCTTTCTATTAATCAAGCTATATATATTGACAGCCAAAAACATTGATGTAAATTAATTAAATTTCAAAATTCAAGAACAAATTACAGGCGAATCAGCTGATTCGGCAACTAACCAAGACGATCCACCGGAGTTTTTAAACTCGCTGGATTTGCTAGGATTGTCACCTCACAATCTTCAATTAAAGGTTGGATCGGCAATTATAATGTTGCGAAATATCGACCAACTATATTCAAAGTTTCCAGTGCGTTTATCATTAAGTGTTTGTGGTATTAATTTAGAAAACCCATGTTTCTCACATAGAAAATTGTATGTTGTTTGTTCCCGTATTGGAAAACCATCAGATTTGTTTGTCTATGCGCCAGGTAATCAAACAAAAAACATCGTTTATCACAAAGCACTACAATGAAAATTGAACTGATTTTTGAATTATGATTTACATTATTAAAATTACTTACTTTTAAATGCTTATAGTGTTTTATTTAATTATTTTTAATTCACACCGAATTATTACCAGGGTGAGGGATCTGTTCAGGATAATTTTTTGCAAAGAATAGAAAACAGGTAGGCACAAAACACCGCCACATTACAATTTTTTTTGACAGGACAAAGTCTGTCGGGCCGGCTAGTTTAAAATAAATTAATTAATTTTTCAAATAGTTTTGTATGAAGTAGTCTCTGATCTCTTGGGTAAATTAACTATGGAGGAGACAGTACAGAAATGTATTCATCAACACATTTGCATTTAGAATGCGTTTTATTGCAAACCTGAATGAATGACGTGGATTGCATATTCTTACGCCCGCTATAAAATAAATATTGCAAAATATCTGAAACGCGATCCGTTCTTTCTATTCACATAAAAATATGTGACAATGAATAAATTTAAGAATAAACAACATATAATTCTTCAACGTGAAGAGGAAAATCCTTTATTCTCACCGTCAACATAAGCAATATGATATTTGAATCATTTGATAAGAAGATTCTCTCAAAAACTACTATCGATTGCACTTTCTGCGTTGTATCTTCAAAACCGTTGAACCTGCCTTTGCCGAAACTAATCAGCACGTCTCCTCGTCAATAGGAATCGAATGGTGTTCGAATCAATCTAATCAGTCCATTTTCTCAAAAACTGTTATTTTGTGCACTTTTTACTCCATATCATATAAACGTCTGGACCTGCCTTTGCCAAAAACTAATCAGAACGTCTCCTTGTCATTCTTATTAAAACTTCAACCATTTATAAATCAACATTTAAAAAAACTTATAAGCAATATTTGTAGATGCAACCATATCCCAAATGTCATTGATCCAATTTCTTAGCATAAGTTACCTAACAAAGCAAATATATATTTTTGCATAAAATATTTTTAGTGCTTTGACATATATTAATTTCATAATTAGATGGATTTATAATGCAAACTGAAATCACATTTTAATTAACGATGGATTATTCAAATTTAGAGTAAGCTTAGAAATGATTATCAAATAATAATCAATTGGTTAATTATTTTTAGCCTGACCGCATTTTTATATATCTTATAATAATTATAATGTATGTGTAAAAATATCAAATAACGTAAAGCAGGGCTCAAAGCTATCCAGGTAAAAAGGTCCACGACCGATATCTCAGGAACAAGTATTTTTAACAACAATATTTGAAAGTAGAGGGAAAAAAATATATAACGGATTGATTGATTCAATTTTAGAGTAAGATTAGAATTGATTTTCATAGAATAATAAATTGGTTAATTATTTCTATGTAGCTTGACCGCATTTTATATATCTTATATAATAATTATAATGTATATTTTATGATATTAAATAACGTAGAGCGGAGCTCAAAGGTACCCGGGTAAAAAGGTCCACGACCGATATCTCAGAAACAAGTATTTTTAACAACAATATTTGAAAGTAGAGGGAAAAAATATATAACATTCATTCTTACGACGTTGCTATTGAGAGATAATCGACAATGTTTGAAAATCTATAACAAAAGTATTTTCTTTTGTCATTCGTTTTTTTTTTGGTAGTGAGCATTGTTGTTTAAGTTTTTAAGTCCTTAATATAATTTTTAAGTATACTTTATTTACCTGTTTTACAAGATGGATGATTGTTAATTTTTATTTAGATTCAACAGTAGTTTTTTATATAACCTCTATAAAAGCTTGCACGTTGGTGAGGTAAAAAGAACCAACTAAACCCTGGCAAATGTGTAAAAACTAAAAAAGCAAATAAAAAATAAATTAAGTTAAAAGGAACAGTTTTACAAGAGATAAATTAAATAAATAATTCTGTGAATAAGCACTTTTGACGAAATACCAGATTAAGGTTATTCACAAAATTATCTTTGTAAAAAATGCACTCATAAAATTTATATTTTGCATTGGCTGAATTATGAAGGTATTATTTTGTAAAATCTCTTAAAAAATAGAAAAATAAAACATTGGACATTCTTACTCCCTGGCCGTCCCATTTTACTCCGCCTGTGGGGTCCATTTATTGCCTATGGGTTAAAAAGGACCAGATTACAAATTTTTGAGAAGCAAAAAAACACATCTACAAGTTTTAATGGTGAATAAGCTGGGAGTTTTATTGGACATAGTCAGATAGTTGTTCGTTTGATATGTGGTATGTGTTGTGTTGTAAATGGTTTGGTTTTCAGTTAATAATTGTTTAAGTCAAATAGGACCTTTGTGCTTCGCCCTATTCTATATATTAAAATAATTGCATTGAACTGCTTTCTATATATAATAGAAGGAGTATTGTAAATTACAAAGCGTATAATCAATTGATCTTTTTCACTTATATGCTTTCTTATATTAGCTATCAAAACAAATGTGAATTAGGTGGTTTTGGTTTAGAGAGTTTGTGCATTAGATTTTCTGTAAAAAATGAACAATTAATTTTCCTCTACTTTTTTTAGATGGAAGTCTGGTGTCGCTTCCACATTGAACTACGTCAACTTAACTGAAGCTTTGGATAACAAATCTCCTGATTTGGTGCCTTATCCAAATTGGGAGGCTAACAAATTGCCTTCTTCTGGCCAAGGAGATGACACCACACCTAGTTCCGGCGAAAGTTCATCTAATGGACTCGTCGATAATTCAACAATTATTTCGACCTTCAGGGTACGCGTGGATGAATGCGACAGATTGTGGGTGATGGACTGTGGACTCGTTGACATTTTAGGTAAAAAATATATTATTTAAATTAAATTCTCGATTTGTCAATTGTGGTAATACTCATTGCAAAGTGTGCTCATTTTTTTTATTTTTTGTCAAAATCGAATCATGACGATTATATCCTTAGTAACAGTATAATTTGTGTTGGTAAGGTATTGGATAAAAAAAGATTTATTAAAAAAGAGTGCGCGTAAGGTTTACACGCGATTGAAGTAAAACTTATTTGTTACTGTACAGAATGGCATTTAAGTAAAAATAAATACATCATATAGCAATTTTGAATAATGTTAATTAGTAATATGGTAACACTCGTTATGCACACATTTATTAGTGTCAACCATAATACACGTTTATATAATGGTAAATTATAACTAATATATTTATAATAGCATTAACAATGTGTATAATATTTAAAAACAATAATGTAATATATATAATATAATTTAAGTCATATTTCAAATATGACATGATCGGTTTGTCATTGTAATTAGTATTTAGAAATGAACTTTCATTGGAGAAATGAAGTAATTGCTGATTAATAAATGCTATAATATTCGTTCACACAGTGGATTATGTTAAACAACGCCTAAATAAATATTGTTTTCGCAACTTCACTCATCATGTAAATGTGTTTGAAGAACTTCATGTAATTAAAATTAGCATACATTCATTGACTGCTTGTATTTTTTTTTTTTTACTTTTTCGCTGGCTATATAATCTCATTCTTTGAATAGCTGTAATATCTGTCTTGTCTAAAAAATACTTTCCATTTTAATAACTTCAAAGATTTATAGAAACTACAAATAATATAGAAATAATTTCTAATCAATAAACTTACTAATGATTAATCTTATTAATCAATATTTTCAAGGAACAGGGTAAAATATTGTTCTGATCCAAGCATTTTTCATTAAATCAAGATTTGTACTACAATGTAACTTTAAAATGTTTATTTATCTATGCCGATTTCCTTGTTGATATCGGTACGCATACAATGTTGATTCCGTTACGCATACAATGTTGATGCCGTTACGCATACAATGTTGATGCCGTTACGCATACAATGACAGAATTCTATTCACATACATAACAACTAATTACATAACATTAATCACAATCGACCCGTTTAGAAATGATCTCATCAAGAGCGAATGACGAACAGTTAGGGCGTAACGGACTGCCGTTGCATTTGTACGGATTTACACCTTAGTCCGCCTAAGAAGTTTTACTTAAAAGAAATGTAATTTGTTTCACTAATAATTACTTCTTTCGTTAACATAAACATAAATAAAAATAAGAATTCCAAATTTGTGTTATATAAAGCAAACAATTCGGCAACATTTTTGACATGTAAGAAACGTAGACTTTTTATAGACTTTTTATGAAATCTGGTGAAAATTGCATTTTTATTCTTTATCTACATAAAATAAAGCTTAACAATAAACTAAAAATTGCAATATAACATAATAATATTTAAATAAAATAGTCCAAAAGATAAGAGTAGTGGTGTATTTTAGGGACGTGGGGACAGAAAAGGTTCGATCCCAACCTTGGGCTAGGTCGATATCAGGCAACATAGATCAACCATAAGATCAAATTTCAATTTGACTTTTGTGGAAATAGCTGCAACATACGCTCATAATTATTAGATATACAATTAATATAATGGTCACATGTAGGAGCATTGTCAACAGATGGGTTGCTTATCATGAAAAATTTGTTTAAGTCTTAAACAAACAGCTTATAGGATAAGTCAGTCGGAATAGTTCTACATGAAAGTAGAAAAAAACATGAAAAACATACAAAATGATAAAAATCATATCAATCTTCATTCACAAAGAACAATAATTATTTATAAAGATCATGTTTTTATTTGCAGGCACTCCAAAAGTGTATGCTAAACCAGCACTTTTAATTTTTGATCTGCACACGGATCAATTAATCAAAAGATACACTTTTGAACCAACGGATCTTAAAGAAGACAGTTTCTTTGCTAATGTGGTAAGTGTAACAAATATTGATATTATATATTGTTTTAGAATTTTATGGATTTTTAATAGGTTACAAATTCGTACCATTTACGGATAGACATGGATATATTTAATCTAAATACACAAAAATTAAAATAAGTATAAAAATATTTCAAATATTTAAACTTGATATATCAAAAATTATTTACAATTTAATTCAACTGTTATTAGGATATTCTGGATGACAATGATATCAATGCTGTTGTCTTAATTTACAAGTTAAATTTATCTTTACTAATCATCATATAACATTATGTCTAAAAGAATACTATATTCCTAATTAGTATTAGTTCAAAATTTTTGGAAATAACAATAAGATTAATATTACAGAGAGAAATATAGATAAAATTATATGATATATATATATATATATATATATATATATATATATATATATTATATATTGACTAGATGGCCCGACAGACGTTGTCCTGTACCCATGCCTACAATTTTTAATATAATATTTTTGTTTACTCAAAAATAATAATTATTGTTTTTGAAATTATATTTTGAAAGAAAACTATATTGAAAATTTAATACCCGAATCTTGTGTTGGCGCCCCTTAAGGTGTGCCCTCGTATTTTTCTCGTGCATCGCATTAAAGATAGGACCGGCCCTGATTAATACTTAATTTCATATTTTAAGTGAATTAATTTGTCATATCCTGTCCATATGTGTATCATTCAATCTGCCATACTTAAACTGTATCTTATATTATTTTAATTTCTGGCACATCTCAGCTTTCTTATTCATAATCATAAATTTATTATACAAATTCTAACATTGTCTGGGTTCATAAGTAAATTGAAATTTTTGGCAGATGATAGTTTTCATTTGTTTTCAATGCAAACATGACATGTAGTTTTTTCCATTTTTTCCATTTATCTCTACAATATTGCACATAAATCCCAGTACTTTATAATCACATACATCCTAGAAAATTTCCTTAACAAACTTCAGAAAGATTTATCAAAATCCGAATAATTGTTCAGTAGGAGTAAGCATATATATAGTTACGGGATCCATCCCGCTGACATAGCTTATATCTAGCCAAGATCCTCCTTGCTGATAAAGCATATTTTTAACTATATAAGTAGCAAGATCTCTACATTCGAGGAGGATAATCTTTGCCAGTATTTACACCAGTCCAGTTATATAATTTTAATTCATTATATCATTATATTGTAAAATTCAATTATTTTATATATTTTATTGTAATTATAAGAAATAAAGTTTTTTTTATTTCATTCTCGAATAACGAGTATAAAATTGGCGCAGTCGGTAGTATTGAATTCGGGATCGTCTATCGCAGATATCCATTGATTTCAATCATTTAGAATTCGGAACCAATAATTAGTAATAGAAATTGTGGGATTGATTTTGGAAAGGTCTATCGCAGGATTTCCAATCAATTCAAAGGTGATTGTAGTTCATAGTGTGCAAAAGTGCAAGTGAAAAAATTATATATATTGTGTGAAAAAAAGTGCGAAGAGGAAATTCGCCGAAAACATCTGGAACTGGTGAGTGAAAAATTTTAATTGATAGTAAAATTGCCATCCTCCCTTATCCTTCAATCGCTGGAGATAAGAAAGCAATTTTTACAGTTTAAATTTTCTTAATTAATTAATTGATTAAATAATATATATACAAATTTATTTTATTTTTGCATTCCATTGAAACATAATTCCATGTACGCGAATTAGTTTATGGAAATTGGTATTGATTTTATAGAGAACTTAGCAAACTCATTAGCAAATATGTCCATTCAAAACATCCCCAAATTTGATCATATATTATCGACACTATCCCAAGTTTTGGCGGTAACCCCGCAGAACTAAATTCATTTATTTCAAGAGTTAGGGAAATCAAGAGTAGATATCATGACAGTAGTAATCCGACTTGTATACAAAACGAAATTATAAGGAGCGCAGTTTTTTCGAAACTATATGACAATGCTAAATATGCTATAGAAATTGCCAATGCTAGAGAAATAGATGATATAGTTAGGGTACTAATATCAAAATTTTCAGACCGTAGAGATGATATATCTTTAACTTTTGATCTCCATCATATGAGACAATTACCAAATGAAACCGTTTATCAGTTCTATGAAAGATTTCAAGATTTGATTACAATTTATAAAAATTATATATACTTACACCTTACAAACAAAGAAATCATCCTAGATAGATGCAACAACTTCCAAAAAAGTGCCTTGGCCGTATTCATAGCACACGTTAAACAGCCATATAGTTCACTTCTTAGAAATCGTAACGTTTCGTCATTAGAAGAAGCTTTAAGGATTATAGAAAAGGACGACTATGTTAGTAGTGTTAGAGATGACTCAGACCATTTTAGATACAATAGTAAAAGAAATAGTAAACCACAAAGTTATCAGAAAAACGTCTCCAATTTTGCACTTCCTAGAAATTCAAATACGGCAATTCCAAATTATAAGAGACAACATCATTTCCAACCACATTTTTATAATCCACAAATGTCCCAACCAAATAATTTCCAAACAAATAACTTCCAACCAAATAGCTTCCAATCAAATAACTTTCAAACAAACCAAATGACTCAACAACCATTAAGACCTAACCAACAAAATTCCCCATTTCCAAATCAAACGAACAATACAACAAAGGGTTCTGACTGGACACCTATGAGTGGTGTATCAACTATTAATTCCGCAAATAACAAACAACGACATAACAGACTCTACAATTTAGAAAACATTGATTCAGAACAAGATTCATACTCTGACGAACCACATGTGGATTTTCAAACGGACGAACAACGACAAAATCAAACATAGTTGAATTTCACAGTTTTCAAAATTATTCTCTTCCTTATATTCAAATAAGAAATCCAGACCTAAAAATTTTAATTGATTCAGGCTCAACGAAATCATTTATTTGCCCAGAGATTGCTAATAGATATTTCAAAAGTTCCATTTATTTTGACCCCTGTACAATAAAAACAGCTCTATCAACGCACACAGAAAATTTTGCATGCAACATCCCAAGCTTCAGTGAATTCCAAAATAATGAAAATCTTTCATTCCATCTATTTAAGTTTCACGAAACCTTCAATGGGTTGTTAGGAATTGATAACCTTAAAAAATTGAAGGCGCTCATTGATTTTAATAATGAATTGCTAGTATTACCTAATACTAATTTAAAATTACATTATTTGAAAAGTCCAAAAAAAATACTTTTTAGTCAACAGATACCAGAAAGATGCATTCAAAAATGTAAAGTCCCAGTTAACATTAAAGAAGGTGAAATTTTAATCACAGAGCAAAATTTTCCAAATTGTTTCATTCCCGATACTGTAACATTAGCAAAAAATAATGAAGCCATAGTTGAAATTCATAACCTAACAGAAAATGAAATTAACTTAACATACACTAAACCTTTAGAAACAGAATCTTATAATTTTACTACAAACAAACCTGATTCACATGTAGATTTCCCACATACTAAAAATTTAATACAGACAGACCACTCAAATTTTGAAGAGAAAATTGCCACTATACCTGTCCACTCCAAATTTTATAGATACCCAAACATTTACCGTCACATAGTAAAGCACAAGTCAGATCAAATAGTGCCTAAATGTAATACATTATTTTCACCGAATGTTGTTTCTCCAAATAAATCGCATAATATGATTTCAAATTTCAGAAATTATAAGTATAGGAAAAAATGATTCATTTAATTTTCACCGGTAGGAATAAATTGATGACTCTCGAATCACGCCTAAGGTTTCACGATACAAAAAATATTGACAAATTTTAGTTAGTTTTAATAGTATTTCAAATAAATTTAAAAATATTATATTTTATTATATTACGTTAATTAATAGAAATGAATTAAATAATTTTCAATACTGCGTAATGAATTAGATAACGAAGTCAATGAACATGATTACGTTGCTATTCATCCATTTCATTTATTATTACATTTTGATATTATATTTCGAATCATAAATATTCAATATTGTTATGAAACATAATTTATTATGATAATGGAATTATAATAATTCTTGTTAATTTTGAGCTCAAGCTTAAGCTGCGAAAATATATAATATCATTTTAACATAAATTTGATTAATTATATTTTTATCATATATAAATATCAATTGAATGTTTTATTATCGCAAATTGAGAGAAATTGGTATCAATGCATATGGTATCCAATTAACTCAAACAAAATGTTTAATTAATAAAATAGAGTAGGCAATAACAATTGTTACCATAATATAGAGAATAAATTAATGAAAATATTTTAAAGAATATACCACTAGTAATAAATCTTTTGCGTTGTATGTCAACGATAGCGAATATATTGCTGACATTACAAACATTTTAACTTCTACTTTCACTTATTCAGCATTTAAATTAGTTATATGTAATGATTTTAAAGAAGATATTATTGATGTAAATAAACAAAAATTAATAGTAAAAACAATTCACGAAGATTGTTCTAACCATCGAGGAATTAACGAGAACGAATCGCGTATTAGACAAAAATATTATTGGCCAACAATTCGTAATGATATTACTACTTATATTAATAATTGTACATTATGTTCTACTGAAAAATACGACAGAAATCCACCAAAACAAAAATTTTCTATTTCCCCTACAGCTTCGAAACCATTTCAAATTTTACATTTAGACATTCTTACAATTAGTAAACAAAAACTTGTCACAATCATTGATACATTTTCTAAATATGCGCAAGCATATCCTATTGCTTCTAATATAACGGAAAATATAATTAGAGTTCTAATGTTATTTATTTCTCATTTTGGTGTTCCTGATACTTTAATTATGGACAATGGTCCTGATCTAAAATCTTCATCCTTACAAGAATATTTGAAAATGCATAAAATTAATATCCACTACATAACTCCTTTACATCCAAATTCAAATGGACCTATTGAACGATTTCATTCTACTATTCTAGAACATATACGTATTCTCAAACGCGAAAATAATAATCTTAGTATTCTTGACATTATCCCTTATGCTATTAATGGTTATAATAGTTCTATACATTCAGTGACAAAATTAAAACCATTTGACATTATTTCAGGTCATCTCTCTACGAGATCTCCTTTTGACATAGACATAGAAACAGAAATTCTTACAAATTATTTAGAAGACCACAAACAACGAACAAAGTTAATGTATGAGAAAATTTTTGAAAAGAATTATAGCAACAAAGACAAAACAATATCGAAACATAACGAAACAAGACATGATCCTTTGCAATACGACGAAAACACACGTGCATATTTAAAATCAAACCCGCGAGACAAAACCGCTTCACGTTACAAACAGATACAAGTACAGAAAGATCTAGGAAATACAATTCTTACTGACAAGAATATTACGATACACAAACAAGAACTCAAACGTCCAAAAACTAATACTCAGCAAATCCCACGTGAACAAGATGTTGTTGTTTCAACTAATAATATTACACCTAGTACTAGCAGCAAACAGTGATCAAATTTTTCTTCAAGAATTAAATACAACTGGAATTTTACCTTTTGAATTAGGAAATGCAAAGTTAATCGAAAAATATCATATTTTTATTCATTATGTTAATACAGATTTGATTAAACAACAGATTACTAATTTGGTTACAGACTTTGATACACTTTTATCTATTTTAAATAATAAACATAACGATTATTTGAGAAGATTAGATTCATACATTTCTTTGACAAATACTATGATTAATGTTATTAAAGATAAATATAATATTATTAGACCGGTTAGAAGAATTAAAAGAGGACTTATTAACGGACTAGGTAGCATAATTAAGGAAATTACAGGGAATTTAGATGCACAAGATGCCAAAAAGTACGATGACGCTATACGTATATTAGAAACTAACGATGAAATTTATGCAAAAACATTGAATAAACAAATGACATTAAATAATAAGTTAATTGAATATTTTAATGAAACAATTATTAATATTAGAGAAAATGATGTAATATTAAATAAGAAATTGAATGATATCAATGATTATCTAAAATTCGGTAGTTTTAGTCATAATGAATATTTTATAGCTAAAGATAGTTTAGAACAAATTAATTATAGTTTAGTTATTTTAACAAATATTTTAAACCATTTAGAAATATCATTAGATTTAGCTAAGATGAATTTAGTTCATAACTCAGTAATTAAATTAGATGATTTGAATTTTATGATTAATACTGTAAAGAATTTATACAATGTAGAATCATTACCATTTCCTATAGACGATAGTAATCTTCACAAATATTATAATTTACTTAATATTCAATATTATTATACAGACGAAAAAATTGTTTTTCTTATCAAATTTCCTATCACTCTACCCGAAACCTATAAACATTATAAATTGTTTCCAATTCCAAATACCGAAAATAGAGTCATTATTCCACCTAAACCTTTCCTTACAATTGGCAATAATAACTATCAATTTGACGATACAAATTGCAAGGAAGTTTCAGAAAAATATGTTTGCAATATTAGACACATATTATCAAACGACGAAGAATGTATCATAAAATTATTACAACTAGATAACACTCACATCGAAACATGCAACGAAATTCAAGTCAACATTACACACAATATTATAGAGAAAATAAATAACGCACACTATATTCTTTTACTAAGCACACAATCAAGAATCGATATGATTTGCAATCATCAAGAAGAAACTAAGTTTATTAAAGGAATTTTTCTTTTAAAACTCCCACACTTATGTAAATTCAGCATTGACAAGAAAAACTATTACAATCAAGAGTCGTCTATAGAAGGAAAAGCAATTATTTTACCAAGATTTAATTTCAACTACAACATTTCAAAATCATCCGAACCAATTGCAATCAAGTCAATTCAAGTAAATGAGCTATCTAAAATTAAAGAAGATCAAGAACAAATTCATAAACTCTATGCAAGGAAGACTGGAATTAACAACAACAGCATCGTGTCAATTATCATGTATATAATATTTATAACTATTATTATTATTTATATCCTGTTCAAGTATTGCAGACAAAGATACAACAAAAAGAAATTACAAATTACTCCAGAAGTAGAGACACCCCAAGAACAAGAAGGCCACAACCAACCACCAACCTGCACCCCGAGGTTTTTCATCTAGGGCCGGAGGAGTTACGGGATCCATCCCGCTGACATAGCTTATATCTAGCCACAAGATCCCCCCTTGCTGATAAAGCATATTTTTAACTATATAAGTAGCAAGATCTCTACATTCGAGGAGGATAATCTTTGCCAGTATTTACACCAGTCCAGTTATATAATTTTAATTCATTATATCATTATATTGTAAAATTCAATTATTTTATATATTTTATTGTAATTATAAGAAATAAAGTTTTTTTTATTTTATTCTCGAATAACGAGTATAAAATTATATTCAGTGAGTGCTTGTAATTTAATATGAACTTTATATAATAGCAATAAAGCTCAAATTGAATCTACCTTAGTTAGAAAGCGTTTGTATGTGAAAAAAAATGGGTTTTTTTACGGTTTTCCGGCAGTTATTCGATTTTTTCTCGCCGTAAAAACCATTCTTGCACTTCAACCAACATTTTAAAAAAGAATTAGCCAAATTGGTCCAGGAGTTGTTAAGTTATGCGCTTACCAACACATTTTGCGATTCATTTTTATATATAAGATATTATAATTAGTCTCAATTGTTATTACTTACATTACTTATTTAAATAAGGACTATAATAACATATGGTTGGTGGTTGTTTTGTTTCAGCAATTTTATCTATACTTGGAGTAGCAGTTAGAAGTCAATCACCTTTGTCAGATTTTAATTTTTTTTCTTGGCTCTGTAATTTTTCAAAATAGTACTATGTCATTTTGTGCGAAATTGATCAAACATGAATAATTAATCAAAATTCTACCAAACACAAGTTAATTGATTTTAATTGAAATAATTACGAATATCAATGAAAACGTCCCTAATAACATGAAAAAAGTAGCCTCAAAATAAACTTTTCAAGGTGCAAATCACGTATGAACTGATTTCTGCGGCAAGACAGTGACAATGACGCTCAATATCTGACAGGATTGTTGAATGGCTTTCTTTGTATCATACAGTCACAAAAACGTTAATAAAAGTTACTGTAATAAAGCACTTCGTTTCTAAAAGCTATGGATTTTGAAAGTTATATGTACTTATTATTTTTTGTATAGAAATTTACTTTAACTCTTACTCTATTATAATTAGAGTAAGTAAGGTCTCTTCTGGTCTTTTGTAAACTATTAGTTTTAGTTTAAATATGCTGTGTTATAATTTTAGGTAGCTTGATATTCAATTATTTCAATTGATACATTTCTACTCATAGGTTGTAGATGTTCGTCCAGATGCTTGCGACGATGCATTTGCTTATATTCCTGATTTGGGAGCCTATGGAGTAGTCGTTTACTCCTTCCGTGACGATGACTCTTGGCGAGTTTCCCACAACTATTTCCATTTCGAACCACTTGCCGGGGAATACGATATTGCTGGTGTTCAATTCCAGTGGACAGATGGAGTTTTTGGTATCGCTTTGTCCAAACACCAACCAGATGGGTAAGAGACATAAATAAACAAAAGAATTATTGTTAAGATTATATGGTATCAATTGCACTGATATTTTTCCTAATTTTTGAGAAATAAAAATTTTAAATATCTATTCAAAATATCTTGATATGAGATATATCTATAACTTTCTCAAAAAATAAATTTTAATTTGAAGATTAATAATGTTCATAGTTTCTACAGGATATCAAATAGATATTTTATACTCAAATTGAAACCAATTTCAATTAACCAACCAACCGTTTTCATTTGAATTATAGAACTTAATAGTTATATAGTTATATAGTTATTGAATAAATAATTTATTTATTAGCGCGTCTACTATATAACTGAACACAAATGTGTATGAATTTTCTTCTAACTTATCTACATATTCAGTAGCCTTTTTAGCCGTTAATACGTGCTAAAACTCTACATTTAAATTATCAGTACTTCTAATAAACTAATATATGTTTTTTCTTATACCATAGAAATAATTTTGAATAATTCACCTATTTTTTGTCTTAATTTATTTATTAGCATTAATTATATAATTTTTGATGAGCTTTGTTTTATTAATTTAACGCTCTTTAAATACAGATACTTGCCTGTAGATTCAATATACATATTTAAAGATTGTCTTAAGAAATAGTAATGAATTTTCAATTTTTTTTGTAGTTGAAGTTGTAATTCTAACTATCTGGACCCGAATATATTCTACTATACTTTCGCTTTTCTTTAAAATTACTCTCATTTACTTAAACAATTCAAGACTATGACTAAATATATTCAATTTTATTGTCTATATTTACAACATTTTATTGAATTATTAACAAATGTCAAAAGTATGTATCTTATTTATTTATTTATAAGCAAGCCGTAATCAATAATAATAAATATTATTTCAGGCTTTTGTCAAGCTTATTCATGATTAATATTGAAAGGGAAATAATTTTTTTAATATTCATAGGAGCTGCACGTTTTTCGCTTCTGAAAAAAGATCTGAAGAAAAACATTCAAACATTAAATACAATGTTCATCATCAAGTTTATCATATTAAAGTCTATTAGTTCAACTACACCAAGCCAAAAAAACTTATTTTAAAAATTTGTATTTTTGTGAAAACTAGGATTTATACAAAAACCGACATTCCAGAAAACCGATTTTCGAATTTTAATTTTACTAAAAAACCGATTTTAACCGGTTTTCGAATTTTATATAGAAAATAAGTTTTTGCTCGAATATTCTGTAATTTATCCCCAAACTTAGTGTAATTTAGAGCAGTATTTGACTGAATTTGTTTATTGTTCAATTTTACAGATAGTGAACAAAATTATTTTAATTTTAATTAGTATAACTAAAAAAATATAGTTTATGTTGATTAAATAACTTTAATAATAATTATTCGTTATTCATGCGTCATTTTCACATATAAGGATGAAAGTATTTTTATGATAATGAAAGGAAAGTTTTCGAATGAATAAAAATAATACATTCTTAAATAAAAAACATTCATTAAATTAAAAAAGAAATAACAAAATATTAGATACATGTTGATACATATTTGTTAATATCAATTTTAGTTTTAAAACAATCAAGCTAAACTCGGATATTGCCTGTTCCGAGCAATTTTAATTAATTAATTTTAAACATTCTAATTGTTTTATTTGTTTAATAAAATATTATTTAAAAAAACTGAGAACATCTATCGAATTGCTACTGATACAGAAAATACTCTCATACTTGCGACCAAATTATGCTCAATTGTTTTTAATGCCTTATATAATAATTCTAAGTTGTTTATTATTCTATTTGTGGCTTCTACGGTTTGAAACTCTTTTTTTTTAAGTTTGAATAAAGGAAGTTATTTCCTCAAGTCACACTGATTTAAATTAATATATACACTAGTATAAAAATCTAAATGAATATATAAAAAACTTTTCTGGAAACCATTGCAGACTGACAAGATATCAAATAAAATGCTAATGAAACGATATGATTTCAACAATCTAAACGCTTTCATCAATCTTTTATATTTGGCTTTATTTGTCATTTTCCATTTATACAGTGAAAACCAACTTTTTTCACTGTAAAACCGGTTTTCGAATTCCATAATTTTCTCCAAAAAAACGGTTTTTAAAACCGGTTTTTGAAAACCGACGAACTCTAGTAAAAACTATACGCGGGTGATTATCAGAAATAATGTCTAATTAGCGATTCGAAAACAAGCATTAATTCGCAAGATTATCAATCAAATAATGTTATACATTTCATTTATATAATTTTTTTTAATAGTTACCGTACAGCTTACTTCCATGCAATGTCTAGCACAAAAGAATTTGCTGTTTCTACAAGATTATTGCAAAATTCAACCTGGGCCCACAGCCCTGAAGCATATCATGAATTTAAGGTGAGTATTAAAATTTGTATATTATAAATTCAAAATTGAAATTTTGTAAATGAAATTAATATAAAAACTTCAGTAAAAGTGCCTTTAATTGCAAAACTTATTTGTTGTGAAAATTAAATTTTATTAAGTAAAACAAAATGTACATACATTTATAAAAATCCTTGAAATACATTAAGCATATGAGATTGCATTGCAATTTATTGCATTAATGCATCATGATCTTAATATCTAATCTTTAGATTAGATATTTATTCTAAAAATCATTATTTTATGTTACTTATAATATTTGTGTTATTTAGCTCGTTGGTGACCGTGGACCAAAAGGACAGAGCTCAGCAAGTTTTCTTCACGAGAACTCAGGAGTACTATTCTACACTCAAGTAATGAAAAAATATTTTAAAAATTTATTATTGTTCTATATTTATTTACTGTTTTTTATTAATTTCTCATTTAAATAGGTTAACAAGGATGGAATAGCGTGCTGGAACTCTGGAAAACCATATAATGAGTTCACACAAGGAGTTGTTGCACAAGATCCTTATAAATTAGTATTTCCAAACGATTTAAAGGTATTTACACTATCTTATTGAAATATGTGTATATCTGTGTCTATGTTCTATGCATTCATAAATTATATATCCAATTGCTATCAAATTTTTGAAGCTGTAAGGTATATCCCAAGACATGTTTTAGCTAATTTTGATTGAAACCAAATGGTAAGGGTTGTCCACCCCGAAGATTTTTTTTTCTTATATGGGTCAATTTGTAGTTTTTTTTTCAAAATACGTATATAAAAATCACATACAACGTTTTGGAATAAACTTTGAGATGTTTTGAGCGTATGAAAAAGCTCTATTTTACATAAAAACAAACCTAATTTCATCAAGAATAGTCCAACTAAAACACTCATTTTTTAATGTATTGGATCCATTTTCTTATTTTTTTTTAAATGCGAGTTTGAAAAATACAAACTGCATGTAACCCTCAATTTGCACCTTCTCACCACGCTTCCCAATTTCTTTAGTTTTTGTGAACATTTTCTACTGCATTTTAATTCAGATTTTGCAATCGTAAGAGTTTAAATTTTTATTACGAGTTTTATTTTTTATTTTTATCAACGAAAATTATTCTATCAAGGATTGTCCAACCAAAACACTTATTTTTTAATGTATTGGATCCATTTTCTTTTGTTTTTGAATGCGAGTTTGAAAAATACTTGCATGTAACCTTCAATTTGCACCATATCACCACACTTCCCAATTCCTTTAGTTTTTGTGGACATTTTCTACTGAATATTAATTCAGATTTTTCAAAGGTAAGAGCTTAAATTTTTATTACGAGTTCAATTTTTTATTTTTATTACGGGTTGATTTTTTTAAGTTACTTTCTTTATTTTTTTACTAGACATTCACTTAATTATATTATATATAGACACTACGAACTTAAAAAGTAAATGTAACTATAAAAATTAATATAAATAGAGGGTAGAGCTGAGCTTATAGGTCCACGGGTAAAAAATCTATTATAATTCATGTTATTTATTTGTATTATGATATGGATTTTTAGCTTTAGCTTAGATTCAACAGATTTTTATATAACATCTACAAAACAGTTGTATTTGTGTTACGTTGTTATAAAATTTATGTAAACTCACCTTCGATAATGTTGTTGGGTTATTATTTAACCCTTGTAGCTATGGACTATATTAAACACTGATTTGTTTGTATATTAAGTATTTGTTGCAGTTCTAATTACAATCACTGATTTGTTACTAAGTTATAATGAAAGAAAATATATTTATTGGTTATTTATTATACATGATTTTTCGCGGACTTTACTTTTAGTAATGAACAAATAGTTAAATTAAAACACTTCGCTACCTTCTCTGCCAGGGGTAGCAACAATTCCGTGTAAAGCTTAATGCCCTGAAGGTTGTCACCTCATGGCCAATATAATAAAACAAAAATACGTCCGAACAACGATACATATGGCTTGAATAAAAAAGATCAACTGAGCTTTCACGATGGCTAAGGTGTAAAAAATAAGATAATAGTAATTAAAAAGTATATTTAGTTAAAAAAGAATTTTACAAGAGAAAAATTAAATTAATAGTTCCATCTTTGCTGATGAATCTTTGGTATAATCTTTTTCAAAATTACCTATAAAATTTGGTATTGGATAAATAATATAGTCTTCTGTTCGAAAAATTTATTATAATTAAAAATGAGGTATTGGGTGTGTTTGTCCCTTTTGGAATAAATAGAGACAGATGGAAATTTAACAAATAATAGCAAATGAACATATATCTGTATTTGGGCAATAGATTGAAAATTTTCCGATCATATTTCGACAGTTATTAAAGGTTGCACACGTATTGTCAAATAATTATGGTATAATGTTGATCATATGAAATCCAATTAATGAGTATTTTTTATTTGTTAACCCTTTATTTATTTTTCATAGGTCGACTATGAAGATAATGTGTGGGTGCTTTCGGACAGGATGCCTTTATTCATTTACAGGGATATCAATCCGGCTGAAGTAAATTATAGAATATTAAAAGTTTCTGTAAAAGATGCAGTTGTTGGCACACCGTGTGCATAACTATGAGTTTATTTATAAGTAATTATTACAGCATGTTAGATCAAACATTAGAACATTTTCAAGACCAAATCAAGAACATGTAAAGATGTACGTATTATAACAAAACCACAAAATATCATCACAATGTAGATTCACAACCTTCATCTATAGTTCATGATTGAATAACCAGTACAAAAATGTAATCATCTTTGCAGTAAGCTTTAATTCATGATTGTTTTTAATAAATATAAAATTATGTTGTCGTTCAATATAAAATCGCTTTAGTTCATCACATTTGTAAAAGATTCATAACAATTAATTGCTAGCTTAACTCTCAATTTCATTACAATTAATTAAGGTAATTTAATTATTATTTAAATATTATGTTCTAAAAGTATAATTATAAAAACTTCTGATAAAATACACGAATGAATTAACTTCATTACAAAACGATCGTTAAATTATATTTTAACTCATTTATATTATATTTTTCTTAGTTTTTTTCATTAACTTCCCGTACGGTAAGTTATAGTAATCGCAAAAAAATCGAAAATGCAAATTTTTATATATCTTTACGTTTCAAAGGTTTCTTAACATTTTGGCATTCCTTAGAAAAAATGGATGTATGTGTGTGTATGTGTGAGTGTGCGTGTGTGTGCGGATACAAATTTTTGCCAACGATTTCGGGAACACCGATCAACCGATTTGAATAATTCAAAAAACATTCAATTCGTATTGATAAGGATACGTGTTGATTAGTTTTTGGCGTAGGCAGGTCTAGCCGTTCCGAAGATATGGGGCAAAAAGTGCCAAAAATGGTAACTCAGTTTTCAAGAGAACAGAGCGTCCGATTTTAATAATTCAAAAAACATATGAAACAACAGATTAAATTTTCATGCAGGCAAGTCTAGCGGTTTCGGAGATCTAGTAAAAAAAAGTAAAAAAAAATGCCATTTGGCGGTCAAAAATTATCATTAACGCGAATTCTTCATGTATTGTATTAATATTGAGGTCTTTCAGTATGAGCCAATTTGGTACATACTTAGGAGCGTTTACTATTTCTTTCAGGAGTTTATTTTGGAATCTTTGGATGATTTTGATGTTTGATTTCTTTGATGTTCCGCACATTTGAATTCCGTATGGCCACATTGGCTTTAACATTACTTCATTCAGTAGCAACTTATTCCGTGATTTTCTGTTCACTGTAATCTGGATTTTCTGTTCAATAGCCAGTAAAGTTTTCTACGAGACTTTTTGAGTTATTGTCTTTTTTTTTTGTATGTGATATTTACAAGTGAGTTTCGAGTCTTGATGCAATCCCATAAACTTGACGACATTGGATTGTTGTGAAGTTGAATTAAACAAGTTAACTGGAGTACAGCTACATTTCCTGAAAGTAAAGGTGATGTGAATAGAAATGGTATTGTTGACTTCGAATCTCCATAGTGAAAACAAGACTTCGATTTTGACAAATGAATCTGTAGGTTTGCAGATGCTTTTGATGGGTCTTGATGTATTGCAAGTATTGCTGTGTCATCTGCGTAAGTGGCTATTGTGGTTGAAGTAGTTTGAGAGATATCTGCAGTAAAAATTAAGTAGAGAAATGGTCCGAAGTCAATTCCCTGCGGAACACCAGCAGCAGGCAAGAGTGCGAAGTATGCATGTCTCTAATGTTAACAGTAAAGAATCTCTTAATCGGGTATGATTTCAGTAGAGTGAAGATTCCGTGTGAAAAATTTTCTTAACTTTGTATAACAGGCCGTGTTTCCCCACTTTGTCAAACACTTGACTATTATCTATAAAATCCGCTGAGCAGAAAGAATTCTGTTGAAGTAAGTTTATTATTTTGTCTGTAATGCGATGTATTTGTTCAATGGTTGAATGTTTCTCTCTGAATCCAAATTGGTGTTGAGGTATTGCTTCTATGTTTTCTAGACAGGACCTTATTCTATTCAGGAAGAATTTTTCGAATATTTTTGACAATAATGATAGTGGACTTATTGGTCTGTAGTTTGAAAGAATATGCGGATCTTTCCCAGGTTTTGGGACTAATATTAATTTAGCCGGTTTCCAGGTTGAAGGAAATATTTTGAGTCTAAAATAGAATTGAAGATTTTTTTGCTTGCAATTTTGTTTTTACATGTATTTCGTTTCAAATTTATCACTCTTTGATAATGCGTCTGCTATTGCTGATTGTTTAAATAGTTATTTTTATTATTGTGAATAATTCACATCTGGGGTTAATTGTATAACAATCTTGGAGCTAGTTGTAACATAAATTATGCTCCACGTTTTGATGTAAATAAATGCGTTACTAACTATAGAAATTATAAATCCAATCAAAATTTTGAACGAACCAATTTCGAGTTGCTGTAATCTACATTCTACAATACCTTTTACCCATTTTTTTACACTTTGGTTTTGGCGGGCAAAGGTGGTAAAAAGAAAAACCAATACAAATAGCAGATGCAAAAAAACATATTTACTATTGATTGATACTCCTGAAAAAGAAATCTTGAGAAAAAGATGAATATAATAAAACATATAAAAAAATCATATTAATGTAAAAGGTAAATAAAAGCCAAACGGGATTGATAGAAAGGTAAATGTGCGAAAATAAAATAGAATGCTCAGAGAAAAATAATGGTATTATCTGGTATATGGGAAAGCATTCACAAAAATGAAGTAGATCCGGTGGAGTCTATTATTTGCAAGATAAGAATATGTATATGTAGAATACGGTTACATAAAAAATATGCAACACTCATACATGATATGTTAATTTTGTTAAAAATAAATAAGCTTTTATTGTGATATTCCAACTAGGCACAAACACGGGGAAAGTTCTAGCACTTTTTCTAGAACATAAATAAATGTTCAATAATTAATAACAGCAATGGAATTGTTTTTACTTACTTCGGTAGGGGTATAGTTTTAGCATTTATTCATCTCTTTTTCGTGAAAATATAAACAGTAGATCTCAAGATATCCTAATTAAAAAAAACTGTTACAACAATTTTCTTGCTCACTTAATAAATGAAAGGCTATTATATTATGATCTCGTATTTTAATAGCAGCAAATGATTTAAAAACATAAATATGTTTCATAAATATAGCATTTTGGATAAAATTTTACAAACTTTTGAAAATTAATTATAAAACATGAAAAAATCATTTCCAAACATTTTGAATTTTATGCATAGATTGTATTTAAAATGCGTCTTTCTCGAATGGATGGTCCTTATGTCCATGGATCCTGAAATTTAATAAATGTAAATGTAAATATTCTATGGAAGCCAAATTAGATCATAATTAATTTTCAGAACTTACTCGGATAGAGAATAAAGCCTGTATCCTTGATCCATTTTATTAAAATGTTCCATATCTTCGGCCGTAAGTTCAAAGTCCAGAACTTTGAAATTTTCCTCTATTTGTGCTTTTACCATGGACATCGGTATTATAATGTTACCTAGTTGATAATTCCACCTGAAATATTTATTCTTTGTATATTTCTATAATAAATCTTCAGTGCTTTTGAGCAGTTGGTAATTCAGGACAAATTAATTATACATTTCAAGAATTTTTTTTTTAATACTAATCTATATTGATCGATTATCCTCACGAATAGGTATGATTTTGTTTATTTTTAAATTATATTAATTGAAGGCCTATTAATTATAATCACATTTAATATAAAGCAATAAAACTATCTTTAGATTTTTTAAAAACATTTCCGGAATCTTATTATTATTCTTGTTTCGTAGAATTTTTTTGGAATATATCATATATTGCTATATTATTTAATTTTAAGGAGACACTGAAAGCTGAATAGCCTAAGGAAATTTGTATCTCTTAATTATTTTCTTATTAGAATTTATTTTCTCAATTCGAAAAAAAAACTGATTTTTAAAACATATTTATATTTGGTACAAAACTATTGACTCTCAAAAAAATTTACAATGCTTAGTACTAACTGCCTTAATAGTGATTATGAAGAAATTTTAAAATTTGTCTACCTAGATGTTATAGATTGCGAGCTCCCTCTTCTAAATAGAGTTTTTAATATTGTTAATTTTTATGATATATTTTATTTGTATTTATAAGTTATGATAAATTCAGTCGCAATACTGGGCACATACTTATATCAGTTTATTAGGAAAAGGAAAAAATTAATTACCGTTATTATTTAAAAATGGCTATGAGAAGCAAAAGTATTTAGATGCCAAAAATAAAGTTTTTTCTAAAGTGTATTACAACAAAATAATTATTTCCGCTGACTAATGGAGCTAATTAAACATCACAGATTTAAAAGTGTAAACTAGATAAAACACTGACTATTATAGAACTATTTTGATATTACAAATAATTTCTGCATTTGAAAGGCGCTGCAATATTATTTGCCTTGATAGGAATTAAAATAATAAATATTAATTCATATTCAACAACGAAAAGCATAAAAATATCATTTATTAACTAAGACTTAGTAGCGCAGGGGACTTGTTAAGCTCCTTCGCACGTTTTTCATCCATTCATCGTCAAGAACTTTTTTATCTTCAGCTTTTGCCCATGGTCTATCTGGAGACCCCAATGGGCTGTAAGATGTTGTGATAATATTGTGCAGTGACAAAACTGTCTCAGACAAGCTTGGTTTAGATACGGATGAACTTCAATCTGAAAGAAAATATAAAAAAATATTATAAAAATGGTATCATTTTTATTATTCAAATTCAAAGTAATATAAGTGTTATCGAACACGATCATTTTTTAACTTCTCGTAGGGCAAGTTATAGTAATCGGAAAAAAAATCGAAAATGAAAATTTTTATATAACGTTACGTTTCAGAACCTTCTGTATATTTTGGCATACCTTGGAAAAAATGGATGTATGGTGTGTGTGTGCGTGTATATGTGTGTGCGGATACAAATTTTTGTCGACGATTTCGGAAACATGGATGAAGGGATTTGAATAATTCAAAAAACATTTGATTCGTATTGATAAGGAGACGTGATGATTAGTTTTGGCGAAGGCAGGCCTAGCCATTTCGAAGATACGGGCCAAAACGTGCCAAAAATGGTAACTCGGTTTTTAAGAGAACATTCTACTTGTATTGACAAGATGAAGAATTGTAGCAGGTCTATCGGTTTCGGAGACCCAATGAAGAAAGTAAAAAAGTGCCATTTGGCAT